TTTGTGAACCAAAGTTTGTTCTTTCAAATATGAGTTGATGCAGCTGGGCTTTGTTTACCAAACTATGATTAAGTAAAATATGGCTTAGCAGATTCTGTGAATCAGGATGTTCTGTCTGAGCCTGAAAAAAGAAATACATTGGTGGTACTGTATATCTAGAAAAGTATGTCTGGGAAAAAGAAATCCCAAAGCTGAAAATTCCAATCTTCCACGAAGATTTCAAGGCATTAAAGTATTCTGATTGCAAAAAAGCTAAAAAAACCTCTTGGTGAAAACATCAGGCAGAAAGTCCACTATATTAATGGCAGTAATTAGACAAATTTGTAGCCAAACTGAAGGAGGTATATTAAATATAAGAAAAGCTTTAAACAGTCTGTTAACTGGAACATGTTTGACATGCTAGAGGACATTATGTAATGTACATATCGCAGAAGATTTTAAAAAGTCATTTAGATGCAACAAACAAAATATTTTATATCTCAATTATCGCATAGTATATACTATTTGTATTAAAGCTGTCATGAGACAGTCTGAGAAATTTTTAGAGCACAAAGGTAAGATGTTCAGCAGGAAGTTGCACACAGGCGGAAAAAAGCTCTCAAGTTAGGAATGGTAGAGTAATACCTATTCCAATCTCCTTTTATGCTAACTTGATCATCCATTCTTAGTTTGCTTACCTCCTGCTTTCTTCCTATAGTCAGACTATCCCTTACTCAGTTATAACTTATTCTTGCAGCCATGGCCACCAAATTGTTTCATTTCACAACCAGCACATAAGCATTTCTTTGTTGCTAGAAGAAACCTTCATTTCCGTATGATAGATATCAAATTAGCTATATGTAAATGAGAGCCAGTTTGGTATAGTGTGAAGGAGCTGGCCTAGAGAGCAGGAGACTGTGAGTTCTAGGTCTTCTTTAGGCATGAAAGCCAGCTGGGTGACTTTAGGCATGAAAGCCAGCCATTCTCTCTCAGCCCAACTCACCTCATGGGGTTGTTGTAGGGAAAACAGGGGACCAAAATATTAGGTATGCTCATCAACTTGAGTTATATATATAAAAAAGGTAGGATAAAATATAATAAATAATAAATTAACCGTTAATCTCCATGCATCTATTTTAAACATGAAAAATCTAATCTAGCCTAATATATCTGGAAAATTCACATTTAAGAGAATCAGCATTATAGGTAAGTTTTTTTATACAGGTAGTCCTTGTTTAGCAACCACAACTGGGACCAGTAACTTAGTCATTAAGCAAAGCGGTTGCTAAGTGAAACCGCAACTGTGCTTATGATCTTACTTCAGCTTTCCTTTGCTTTACAGATCTGCAAAAGTCATAAATGTGCGGATTGGTCATAAAGTTACTTTTTTATCACTGTCATGACTGCAGTCACTAAACAAGGACTACCTGTAGTCTGTGAAGTTGAAGATTTCAAAGGCTGAAAGTTCCTTGCCATAACTATATAGCTGATGAAGGAAGTCTTTGCAACTAGTAAAGCAAAGAAAGCACTTTTATAGGAGTGGAACATTGGAAATAGTTTAGCATGTGAAAGTGAAATGAATATCTATCATGTAAATTGTGAATGTTACTAGCTACATAGGAGGAATGTGTAATTAGAATGTCCCATAATGGACCAGTTAGTTTCCAGAATGTTCACATTCAAATGGAACAGGTTGATGCAAGTATTTGGGGCTTGGTCACATCCATATCATCACAAACATCTTCCAGTTCCAGACAATCCACTCCAAACATTCATAAACCACTCCTGATGCTTACATAGGTCCGTTCCAGGTGAAAATGAACATTCCAGAGTTGGATCACTCCAACATGGGCTGGTTTACACATTCCTGTGTTTTGTTATCAAAAAACAAAAAGGACAAATTTCATTAGCACCAAAGTATTTGCAGATGAATTATTTTTCATATAATAAAATGCCTTACAGAAGTTCTTTTCAATCTTATTACCACAAATTATTTCCCAAAAGGTGATTAAACATATACACAGACTGGCTTATCAAATCTTGTTGTTTATGGAAATCGCGCTGAATACAATTTATGATGTAAACTACTTCGGAGTCTTCAGATGTGTGAAGAGGGAAACTGTGGGTGCCACCAATCAAACAGATGCACACTGTGCACAGGGTCCATTACAACCTGCATCCCATGGTCAAATCTGGGTTTCTTGCCACTCCATACTGGAGAATCATGGAATACCAATTTCACTCTGTGGTGCCGCATGTCAGTGCTCACATTTATTGTGAACTGCAAAAGAAAAAAAAAATCTTAACGTCTGGAAGCTATTCAATAGTTTGCATCACCCAGTCTTCCTTAATTCCACTCAAATTGAATGGCATTTTATCCAACATTTTAAACAGGCTGAGTCTGCAAATATTTTAAAAATGAACTTTATCTTTGAGCAAGTGCTTCCGGGTAATATTTGCCTTTCATGAAACTTTTTACAGTAGGCTGTAAAAAATCAAACATGGTACCCATTCCTTATTGAAATATTCAATGTAGTTTTCAAAGCTGTACTTTTCATAGTTGTGCCTGCTTGGAGACTTTTCTATTTCAAAAATACAGGTAGCCCTCACTTAATGACCATTTGTTCAGCGACTGTTCAAAGTTACAGCGGCACAGAACAAATGATACTTACACCTGGTCCCTGAAGTTACGGTCACTGCAATATCCCTGTGGTCACGTGGTCAAAATTCAAGCACTTGGTAGCCCGCCTGCACTTACAACTGCAGGAATGTTTCAATTCCCCCCACCCACAGTGTGGATGCCCTGCACAGTGGCACTCCTTGGTGGTGGCATCGGGGCTGAAAGAGAGGCCTGGGGCCTTCAGCACTCTCAGCCAGTTGCCACTGCCCCCAGGCCTCTACTTCAGCCCTGGTGCCACCGCTGAGTGCTGCCTCAAGCCTGGTGCTATGGCCAGCCACCTCAGCTGCCTTGCGCTTAGCAGGCCCTGCCGTGCCCAGCTGATCTTTGCCATATTTGTTTGTCAAATTAATTTAGAGGTTGGTTTGGCCCTATGCGAGGCAGCTGCTGGCTGCACCAGGCCTTCTTCCCGAGGCCGCTTGTGCCGTTCTCCAAACAGCACAAGCTGTTCTCATGATGCTTCGGAAGGTCTCAGCAGCTTTCCGAAGGTTTTCTGAACCATTGTGAGAACAGCAGGAGCAGCCTTATTGTGATGCTTTGGATGGCCTCAGAAGCTTTTTGAAGGCTTTCTGAAGCATCATGAGAATGGTGGGCGCAGACTCCTTGTAAAGTTTCAGAGGCCTCAGAAGCCTTCCAAAGCATCATGAGAATGGCATGAGCTTGGAGAATGGCGCAAGCAGCCTTGGAAAGAAGTCCTGGCACAGCCAGCAGCCACCTCGCATAAGGCCAGGCTGGGTATGCCTCACCAGCAGCAGGAGGAACACAGCGAAGGGCAGCTGGGTACGGCAGAGCCTATGGAGCGCAAGGTGGGGGGGTGGCTGGGGCTTTGCTCTGTGGTGCTGGGGTGGCTGGCCATGGTGTGGGGCTTGAGGTGGCACTCTGCAGCAGCAGCACTGGGGATGAAGTAGAGGTCTGGGGACGGCAGTGGCTGGGTAAGACTGCTGAAGGCCCAGGACTTCTGCTTCAGCCTAGCACCACCACCGAGGAATGCTGCTGTGCAGGGTGGCCAAAAGGGCAGAGATGTGGGGGAAGATAGGTGGGTGGGGGGAGCTGAAGAGGAGGCAGTCCCTTACTTTACTGAGATTCAGGGCTGGGAGAGACCAAGCCAGGAATGGACTGGAGCCGGGTGGGTCCTCACCTAACGACTGGTGGGATTCAGTTAACAACGGTAATGGGAACTGACGGGATTGCAATCGCTAAGTGATGCAATCATGTTACGCTGCGCTTTTTGACCACATTGCTTAGCGACAGAAATTCCTGTCTCAATTACCGTCATAAATTGAGGACTACTTGTAATGTTCAGCCCCATTATTGCCAGTAGATTTGCCCAACAAAAGAATCTTTTTCTGTTTAGATTTCAGCATAAAATAATACAGGTAGTCCTTGGATTACATCATTCATTCAATGACTATTCAAAGTTACGACGGTGCTGAAAAAAATGGTCCTCACACTTATGACCATCGCAGCATCCCCACGGTTACACAATCAAAATTCAAGCGCTTGGGGACTGGCCCACATTTATGATTGTTGCAGCATCCCCCAGTCACATTCTCCAGCCCTGCGTGAACTGCCTCTGCTTCAATTCCTCCCACCTGCCTCTCTTTCCCCCACCATATCTGCCCCTTTGGCCACCCAGCACAGCATGGCCGAGATGAAGAGGCTGCTGTATTACACCACCTATCCGTTGCCACTTCCCTTCATGGTCTTTGCCTCCCCTCCCCCCTGGGCTCTCTGTGTGGGGGCTGTCGGCCATGCTAGGCAGGGCGCCCCCACCCCTCACTGCCACCCCCCCGGCTGTCTTGCCGCACAGGAAGCCCTCAGCCGAGTATTGCTTATAGCAGAGCAGTGCCACCTTTGTGTGCAGGAAGGGCCCCTTGTTGCCGTTCAGCAAGACAGAGGCGGGCAGGAGGTCTCGCCTGATGGATAAGGAGGCAGGGGCCATTCAGTTTCTGCATCCACCACCAATGCCACCCAATGCCCTTCTGGTGTAGTGCCAGCTTGGCTATGGGCTTGTGAGCTCGGTTGGCCCTGCTCCATGTGCTCGCTGGCGAAGTTGGTACTGCGGCTGCTGCATGCCCTCCCACCAGGAGTCACTACTAGGCATCCCAGCCTTGCCTGGGCACGCATGGGGTGGTGCCATGGAAACATCCCCACCTTGCTGCCTGGTGGGAGGATCATCCTGGCCAGCAGTGCTGCACAACTCAGAGGACTCAAAGCTTCAGTGCTTTCCCTTCCCATTAGGGCAGTGCTCTCTGGAAGGCTCCCTTCTTTGTGCAGGGCGGCAGCAGAACGTCTTTGTGTGAGGCAGGAATGTGTGGAGCATGCAGAGTCCTCCAGGCCAGTGGCCAGGGAGGCAAGGTGAAGAAGATGACAGTCACCTGGGGGTGGGGGTGGGTAGGCGTTGACAGTGGAATACAGCAGCCTCTTCATCTCAGCCATGCTGTTCAGGGTGGCCAAAAGGGCAGAGATGGTGGGGAAGGTAGGTGGGTGTGGGGAGTTGAATAATAAATATTCACAATAATAAATTTTATGCAGTTTGTATCAGTTTTAGTACATGCCATTTCATGTTCTGGAGAAGCAGAGATACACTGCTGTTCTGTCTCTTATGAAGGATTTGGGGGGAAATGTAGATTTTGTGCCACAATTTAATAGAATATCCAACTTGGTTAGGATAGCATTAGCCTAATCACCAGCAAGGGAAATGAACAGATTGTGCAGCAGTGCATTTTCACAAAATCCCTGAAATTCCCCACTTTTACTCCAAACAATATGAACAGAATCTTTTTTGGACAGAAATCTAGACATGCACCTTGCCAAACAAGATACATTCTGTTATATTCATGGGTAGAACAACAGGTCATAAATACCAGTGAATTATTCTGAAATACTCGAATTCTGACATGGATAAATATTTAGCTTTCATACCTGCCTTTGGAATTTGAAGCTAAATTCCCACAGTGAAGACTGCTGGTTAATCTTTTTAGACCAGAAGAGCAGGCACTAATCCAGAAAAAGAGAAAGATTTGTGGTCTGGGGACCTAATATTACAGACATAAAGCAATAAAGCACTAGGCTTCCAACATCTTGTGAGTGAAGATCTTGGATTACTGAATTGAATGTTATTAAAACATTCCAGTCTGGAGTTTCTATACTTCAACAAATCACTTTGAGGATAAAAGTAAACAACACTGATATCAGTTTCAAAAGTTGAATATCACTGTAATTGTCCACTTCCTATTCTGAACACAAATAGATAAATGGAAATAAAGCCCAAGCTTTGCGGTTGAATTTAAACAAATTTTTCCACAACTGAACCTAGTGATGATGATTTCAAAATACTGCTAAGAATCGCCCATTATTTGCTTTATCAAGAGAAAATCAGAAAACTGCAGGATCCAGAATAGGGCCCAGACATTCTAATGTCCATGGAGGAAGTAGCTGTCATGCAAGATGCCCATTCATAGGCTTTATTAAACATTCACTACATCTGAAAAGTAACATATCACCCCTTATGACAACAGCTGTTCTACAGTGAAAATACCAATACAAACTTAATCTTTTATCCTTTTATTGGTTTTATCATAATTTTTTGTTTTGATTGTTGTGAGCCGCCCAGAGTCATTGGGAACTGAGTGGCATACAAGTTTAATAATAATAATAATAATAATAATAATAATAATAATAATAATAATAGGTAGACCTTGCTACTATAACAACTGATAGCATATTCTTTCTTTTATCAAAAGTACTGTCCAGACATGCACAGCAATGCTTTTTTTTTTTAATTTATTATGGGGAGTAAGCATGTCACCTTTATAAAGCCAATTATTATTTAGGTTGTACATACAGGTAATCCTTATTTAGCAATCACAATTGGGACTGGCAACTCAGTTGTTAAGCAAAGTGATCACTAAGAGAGACCACAACTATGGTTATGATCTTACTTTAGCTTTTCTTTGCTTTACAGACCTGAGAAGGTTGTAAATGTGAGGATTGGTCACAAAGTTATCTTTTCATCACTGTCATAACTGTGAATGGTTGCCAAATGAGGCAGTTGCTAAACGAGTACTACCTGTATTAGATTCAGAGGGATGCAGCTAGTGGAATTAGCCCTCTCCTCTGAGAATCCTGGAATATTAGTTAAAAGGAGGAAAGTAGCTGAATACTTAAGTATTTCCTATGACATAGATAATCCACATGCCAGCTGTCCTACCCTTCAGATGTATACCAACTGGTATGCTGCTCCAAACAGTGGATGTGTCTTTAAGGGCAACTTTTGCTGACACCACAACAGCTCCAGTGTCCCACAGAAGCTACACTGAGAAAGAGAAAGGGAAATTAAATAGGAAAAAGCTGGATTCAGTAACCAAAAATAAAAATACCAGACTCTTCCTACTTTGCATGCTCAGTGTTTGTAGTGAACTCCCATAAATGAGAGGAGATTCTAAACGAGAAAAAACAAAGTCCAAGCATAGAGGCTCTGTGACTATACAGTGTATAAATATACTGCTATGCACATATGGAACATGTGCATTTCAGCAATTTTAAGGAGCAACTGAATCATTTCTATGTTTTTGGAATTTAACCAAATTTATAACTGTTACTGCAATACAGATTTTTTACATTTAATTTCCTTTTTAATGCTAATTTTACCCAGAAAAGGATATACAAATTGTTAGTATGATATTGACTGTGGACACCAAAGCCGTTGTGATGTGAATATGAAGCATTCAAGATGCAAATCTTTCTTTTTTTCTACTGGATTGGGCATCAACTAAACCCACCTAAATGATCTGAGTTTAATATTTAACACATGGTTGTAAACTGCTTGACCCAGCTGTTAGTCATCATTCATCTTATTACTTAATGGATACTCCACAAAGAAACTATGAAGTCCCCCAAATACTAAACCTATATTTAAGGTTCAACATTTTGATTTCTGCATTGGTAGAAGAAACATCAGCCAAACATAATAAATCTAAAGCATTAATTGCAAGCTTGTAGAGGTCTACAAAATCACTTCTAGTAAAGGCAACAGCTGTCTAAAATGTGTATTGGAAACTGGGCTCATTCACATGCTTTTCACTAGCTTGAAAGAAATCTGTTAATACTCAGCTGGATAGATTTCTTTTCAAAGTGTTGACTTACTTTTGAATTTTTTAGGGTGCTTGGAGTAGCCTCTGGGATAGTTGGATTTCTGGCTATCCGGGAAACAAAAGGTCTATACATATGGTATAAGGAACGAATTACACATGCACGAAGGCAGTACATCTTTTCCATTGATTCTGGCTGTAAACGGATTGGGAGGGATGCATTCCTATTGTAATGCCTAAATAAGAAAAATGAGAAATTGTAATAGTAAGGTGGATGAAATACATGTCCTGCACTCTGAGATCATGCCGCTGAAATCTGAAAGCATAACAGCTGATTTTGGTGGCATTTTTTTTCATAGTAAAGGGTGGGAATAGAAGCAAGAGGCCTCTGGAAAGCAAATTGTTTTCATTCACACCCTTAACTGTCCCTCTCTGCAACCCTCCTGAAATCATGCTGTCAGTTACTATGATTGGAGGACTGGAAGCCTCCTGCTAACATTCCTTTTCTGCTGTAGCGCCCGCCCTATGGAACATCCTGCCTCCTGAGGTCCGGTGTGCCCC